CAAAGATACTTAAAACATTTCATAAAAGAGTTTTAACTTAAATAAAAGATTACGCAAAAATTGGAAAAATACGCGTCCAGAATGAACTATGCTTCTTCGTCCGTTGCTTGAACCAAGTTGATCCATTTGGTTTCTTCTCCTGAACCCAACACAACACTTGTTCCTTTGCTTGTCGTGATCGATATTTCATCCACTGCAGCTTGAGCAAGCAATCTCATCGCCTCTTTGACTCGCTTCTCTCGTGACCTAGTCATCGGTCATCCCTTAATGATCAATGGATCATTGCCCAGACTTGCTCTCATATCATAGATCACATCAAGACCCCATGAGTTCCACAATAGTCATGGCCTCCAAATCTTTAGTTTCTTCAATAGTGACTACATTATGCTCAAATTTTGGATCCAAATATCACAGAATTTTCTCCATAATTGTAACATTATCTATGTTTTCACAATTCGTTTTTAATTGATTAGCCACTGCCAATAATCTAGAAAAGTATTCGGAAATATATTCAGATTCTTTCATTTGTTGAGTTTCGAACTCACATCTTAAGTTTGAAGACGAACCTTTTTTACTTTCTCCTCTCCTTTGTAAGAAGTTTGAGGCCTATCCCAAGCTTCTTTGGAGGTGTTTGCATTCGAAATTTCTCAAATCTATCATCATTGAGAGATTGATAGATGAGATAGAGAGCTTTCTTATCTGTCTTTCTTAAATTCTTCATGGCATCCCCTTGTCCTTGAGGTACACTAGCATCATCATTTGGTAGAACGAAAGCAAGGCAGCATATTGGTATAAATGAAGCCAGGGACGGACCCAGGGGAGTCCTGGGGGGCATGTATCCCCCAACTTTTATTTTTATTTTTAAATATAAAATCATGTTTGTTATCGACTGAAATATAAATTTTAATCTAAATCAAAGTTAACAATTAATTTTAATAACATATTTCATGGAATCCATAATTATTTAACTTTTATTAAAATTTACTAAAAATTTGATTTTAATCTCCATCAAATAGGGGAAAAATTACAATAAATTTTAATTTTTTTTTTGTCTCGTCTTTTAACAAAATCTTAACCCTCCATCAAACAAGGGAGAAATATTGCATTATTAATACCATTTCGAAATGATCAGGATCTAGTTTTCTACGTTGTTAATGGCGTACGAAACGATCATTCATAGCAAATTCTATGACTTGTCAAAGTAAGCCGTTCAAAATTAGTATTTCAAAAATTTCGATAATATATTAACTTTAAAAATTCTTCGACGATCGTACGCTAATCGAATTTACAAATTGCTTATGTCATCTCAAAGCTTATTCGAGAACTACATTATAGGCATATCAAATAATCAAAACAGATATCAAAAATAGTTAAAAATGCGTCAAACGTGAGTTTTAAAGAAAGACGTTTAACTCACATGTTCTTTAAAAAAATTCAATTATTTCATTAACATTTATTATTTTTGCAATACAAATTTCTCAATTTAATTTTCATCCTTTTATTAGAAAACTTTATATGGAATATGACATAAATTTTTTTTCGAAATTTTACATCCGAAAAAGTCATATCCCATGTAAATTTTCGGATGCAAAATTATATGGGGTATGATTTTTTTTTTTTTTTTGACGTAAATTTTCGATTGTAAAATTTTTCCCAATTTCTTTGCAAGTTCAAGTGTGCCCCCTAACTTTAAACGCCTACATCTGCCCTTGAATGAAGCAAGTACGATGCATGCATTTGGTGGAAAAAGGAAAAAGAAGGCATGTAATGTTGATTTACGTAATGATAATATTGCATAGGCGAAATTAGCTGAAGTTAGATCACAAAGGCAGCGTGCATCAATGTCGGCTATTGGTGCCGGCACTTGTTTGGTAGCAAGTGGTGAGCTTGTTGTCTAGTGGACTTCAATGACAAAAATGAGCATAAGGATGGCATGTGATTGATGTAAGTTTGAAAGGCAGTTGGAAGAGTGCTTGAAAATTAGTCAATTTGGACTTAGGGATGAAACTATGTATATAATGTGATAAGAGAACAAATTATAATGTGTTAACTATTCAGTGTCTTTTTTATGAATTTTCTTTATTTTAGAGTAATAAGCTTGGTCGGTTCCTATGATTCTGCGTTTGTCGTGCCTTTTATCTTTCTATTTTAGTGAAAATCCGCTTGTTTTGTTAATGCAAATACATACTACACTAAACTTCGTGGGATTAGCTGACTATGGCGAGAAACCTCACTACTAACACAAAATATGTTTGAAATCTTCGATTGCACCTACGACAACTAACATAGAAATATACCAATCATGACGATTTCGATCATACTCTTCTTGAATAGAATATCCATGAACACTTGAATGCTCTAAGAAAACTTGAAAATACTCAAAAGACCAAAAACAAGATATTTGTGTTAGCCTTATAATATTATGCAATTATTGCATAATATTTATTTTCCTTCTTCTATATATGTTTCCTTTTTGCTTACTTTTCTTGTAATATATAAACTTGTATATTTCATTAAAAAACATAATTCTTTTGATGGTTCAATACATTATTGATTTTTTTTCTTATTCTCTTCTCTTTTCTTTTCTTCTCTTTGAATTGATTCACTATGTTGGTTCCAAATAGCTCATGTTGTTAGCATGCTATTAGAGCCTATAGTTGAGTAAAAATTGTGAAATTTTTTATTGTAATATGCTGGAAATCCAAGCAAAAACCAGGTAGAAAAGAAAATTGTGTAAAACCATATTCGACCGCAAATAGAAATTACAATTCCGATCGAACCAGAGACCAATTGAGAAAACTGAGACAAGTTTTGTTCATCAAGCCGAAGAGTATCTTTCGGCCAGGCGCGTGTCACTAGACGGGGGCACGTGGTGACGACGCGCGGGGCTCTCGCACAGTGATGTTTGAGGCATGTGAGAGTGCATGAGAGCGATTTTTGAGGTGATTCCAAAAGGTAGTTTGTTCCTTGGTAAATTTATGATCTTCTGGTAGTATTACTTTGGTTATACATGTATTGTGCAACATATTTCGATTGTAGTTTGTGGTGGTACGTTGGTTGTCGTTGTTTTTCCTTAGAATTGGTTGATTTCGTTAATCCGTAGTTGATTATTTGTTGAGTTTATGATGACAATTGAAAGAGATGATTTACTTTAACCCATTAGTGTCAGATTAAATGGTAAAAATTACACATATTGGAGTACCGTGATGAGAAATTTTCGAAAGGAAAAAAGATTGTGGGGCTATGTTAGTAGAACTGTTATAAAACCCAGGACCACTACTAAGAATTATGTGACAGAGTTGGATACTTGGGTTCATAATTTTGTTAAGCAATTCATTGGTACACAGTTGACAAAGTTTGAAACATTAAATGAAGTTTGGGATCATTTCCAAAAGTTATACACTAAGTCTAACTTTGCAAAGCGGTATCAGTTGGAAATTGATATACGGGGCTTTACAGCAGAAGAATAGGAGTATTCTCGAGTTTTATGCCACTATGAATTCAATTTGAGATGAATTGGCTCTTACGGAATCAGCGGGACTGAAAGCATGTGAGGAAAAATTAATAATGTATTGAGCCGTCGAAAGAATTAGGTTTTTTAATAAAATACACAAGTTTATATATTACAAGAAAAGTAAGCAAAAAAGAAACCTATATAAAATAAGGAAACTAAATATTATGTAATAATTGATTTCATTGAAAAATCTAATTCTTTTGACAGCTCAATACATTGTTGATTTTTCTTCTATCTCTTTCTTCTTCCTCTTTTCTTTTCTTCTCTTTGAATTGATTCACTATGTTGGTTCAAGATAACTCATGTTGTTAACAATTTGAAGTAAAAGAAAGGAGAAACAACATATTCTGAATTGGAATTTGAATTTTACAACTTTTGACAAAAAAGGTTTTGACCATAACATCGTGCCACTTCAGATTGGACACAATCTCATTGTTCAGTCGAGATTAGCACAACCGCTCACTTACATCCTTTTATCTGCACCCAATCACTTGTGTGTAAACTATAGGCAAGTAAGTTTCCCTTCTTTTTTCACACGTTGTACACACTCTCACCTATCAAGATATGCACTTCGAATGACGTGTTGAGACATATCCATCGATTTACCTTCTCCACAATGCTCTAGAGACGGGACAGGCCCTCAAGATTGGGGTTCAACCTTTAAGATATGCACTTCGAAGACCCACATTTGTTTAGCAACAATAAATGCAGCTTTCCAGTACTGTTTCTTCTTTATTGCTTTGTCACCGTTAAAACTAATGAACACATTAATTACCCACTTCGCTAAAAACTTAAAATACTAGGTACTACCCATTAAATTCAAAGCAACTGTGTCTGTCAGGAAAAAAAGCAGTGTAAATAATAAGTTTAGCATTTTGGAAAGATTTAGTGGTAGATAATTTATATGCCCTTATTGAGGAATGTTCTACTAAGCTAGCTATGATTTAGCCCTTGTTTGACATCCATTTTTGAAGAAAAAATTGATTTGGGATAGTGATTGATGGAAAAATGTGTAGTTAAAAAGTAAGGAGAATGTTTGAGTTTATGTGTAATATTATTTTATTGATAAAATGTGTGGTTGAAATGAAGAAAGAGAAAAAAAAAATGAGAATGAAAATGAGAAAATATAGATGTCAAACAAGGGCTTAGAAAGTTTGCAGCAGCCGTTAAAGTCGTCGTTATATTTAATGATTCTCCAAACTCCACGTTTGATATTGACACCCGTTGATGACTTTTTCTAAACCGCGATGTCTTTTTTGGTAAATTTTTGTTTTGTGTGGTTACCAACAACGCACGTTCCCTAAATACATATATTTTACTCTGGAATAGAATCCAAAAAATTCCCTATATATAGATATATTGCTATAGAGGCACATAATTGAAACGGCTTTTTGAGATTTTATATTCCGTAGACTTACACGTACTTATTTCTGTTGGGGATACCAATTTCCAACAATTTCTATTGAAGAATTTATACAGTGTTATCATGCACAGTATGGTAAGTACTCCTGTCGGAGTAAGAAAAGGTTCATGGACTGAAGAAGAAGATAAACTTCTCAGGAAATGCATTGACAATTATGGAGAAGGAAAATGGCATAAAGTTCCTCTCAGAGCAGGTATTATTTCCTCGGCATATCGGGTGCAAGCTCACACTCAAACACTGGTAGAGATAAAATGGTTATGCCACATGTACATAATGATTTGTATACACATGATGTGGTGTAATATAATTTCATCACAATTTCTTCGACCAAAAAAAATTCCCCCTCTTTTTTTGAAGATTTGTGTTTGGTGTTTGTAGGGTTGAACAGATGCAGGAAGAGCTGCAGGCTGAGGTGGGTAAACTATCTAAGGCCAAATATCAAAAGAGGTGACTTTACACCGGATGAAGATGATCTCATTATAAGGCTTCATAACCTGTTAGGCAACAGGCAAGTTCAAGAACACATATCAGCATAAAATCAGTTCATTGTCTGTCCAGTAAAATCAAAGTCATTGGATTTGGTAGTTCTCCATTGACTTCTCTCTTTACCCCTTTGCATATGTTCCTAAATGGGTGTGCACCTCCAGATGGGCGGGGGCCGGCCTCCCACTCACTTATGCAGCAGTTATTATTTATCCATTGACTTCTCTCTTTACCCCTTTGTCGATAATTTTATTTAACATATCGTCACGCACTTGTAATTTCTAAGCCGCATCGTACAGCACTTAGCTCAAACATACGTATTGAGTGGTTCGGAACTATGTTCGGTTATACTAGTAATACAAAGTGAGCAATGCAAGTGAGAAGGGTGCTATAAAAGAATTATGCTAGTTGTACATTCTTGAATGACATTATGGATGATATAGTGTGATCTGTGAAAAATTGTGCCATTGATTTGAATAAGTATTGTTAAAATCAATGATCCAAAGTGTTATTGTCACGTTAAACAATGTCATCCTGATGTCAAACTTAATTTACTTGTAGTAAAATTCACTATAAAAAGCTTAAGGTTTAGGAAACCTATGTTTCGCAAAATAAGTAACTTACAAGTAATTTTTCTTATCGTCGAGCACAACCAAACTTGAGTTAGGAAAGAAAACAAATATTAAAAGGTTGAACCCCAACCTTGAGGGCCCCCACCGACCCTGCCCTGGACCATTGTGGAGGAGGTAAATCGCAGGATGTGCCTCCCAGGAGCCAGGGTGGAGAGCTTATGGATAGGCCTGGGCTATTAACCCTATGGTAATCCCCCACCGACCCTGCCCTGGGCCATTGTGCAGGAGGTAAATCGCAGGATGTGCCTCCCAGGAGTCAGGGTGGAGAGTTTATGAATAGGCCTGGGCTATTAAACATAATATGTACTGTAGTGTCCAATCTTGTCAACGACTGCATATTAAACCTATCCTAAAAGTTATAGCTTGACTTTTAATGGCCTGTGCCTCTCCATGTTGATGCAGGTGGTCACTGATTTCCGGTAGACTTCCCGGAAGAACAGCCAACGATGTGAAAAACCATTGGAACACCCATCTGCAGAAGAAGGTATTGGCTCAAGATGAGGGGACGAGAAAAGCCCAGAAAACCACCAAAACCACAATCTTGAAACCTCGACCTCTGGCCTTCAAAAGAATTGCACCTTTTTCGTCAAGAGAAAACATAATTTCCGAACCAAATATTTCAGTAACTGATCAAAATCTAGACATTCCATCTCCATCACCGTCAAAACCAGCAGATGATGAATGCACCCAATGGTGGAGTAACTTGCTTGATTCTGTGAAAATTGATGGAGAACCTGAGCCAGGATCCAATGGAATATCTCTAGAATTGCACGAAGAAGACAATGGCTGGAATGACTTTTCTATTGACAAAGACATTTGGGAGCTTCTGAGTTCTAAAAACAATATACTAATGCAGTAGAATCCGTTTTCAACGTTTCCATTTTGCTGTGTCTATTACTTTCAAGAAAAAGTTCGATGAATTATTTGAAAGACATAGACACAGTCATTTAATTATATGTATGATTTAGAATATGCCCGAAAACCATATTTTCTTCGTTGTAATAAGACTTGTTATTTATAATTCATTCAATGAATCCGCATCAAATCAGCAGCTATGCATGAGCTTTAACTACCTCCATTGAAGTTACAATATAAATATATCAGATATACATGTACATACATATATTATGATATAAGTGCACGTATATATACATACATTTTATGTCTGCGAATTAGGTCGGATCTAAAAAAAAATTAGAATGGGGTTGAATTGGTTGTTACCTAGGTTGCAAAGAAATTTCTAAAACATTTGAGTTTTCGTTTCCGACACATTTTTGCATCCTTGGGTTCTTCTAAGATAATTTTTTCATGTGTCGTGTCGTTTTGCATATGCTAAGGGATATGTCCTACGACGGTAAAATACTAAAATACTAACCGGAATGTAAAGGATTGTGCTACTCATCTTAATAAGATTGATCTCCAAGTCTCGTTGACACATTCAACTCAAATGAACAATTCGATCCGACTAAAAGTTAGGTAAGGAAAAGTATCATTGTGAAATAAGAATTGGTTCTGATCTGGACCATTTTTTATAAATGCTGCAGACATATTCTCAATATCTACTCAGCTTAACAAACTATACGGACCCATAAATTTATCAGATTTGTTTGCATTACAGTACTACATAAATCTTTCGCAGTAGATACGCCTTCAATGCGTGTTTGGTAGGTGTTATTTTAGTTACATCTGGCGAAATTACTTTTCAGGAAAATTTGTTTTTGTAATAGTCCTCTCTAGAAATCTTATTTTAGAGGAGTGTCCCATCTCTGCAGGAGTCATTTCCACCCATTTACTTACTGACTCATGCTACTTGTACAATCCTGTTTACAACTTCTTTTACAACCCGTAACTTGTCAAACAACATATTCATTCATTTAAAAAATTATTTTTGAAATTGATGACCGAGATCTTGACAACACATGGGTTGTCAAACTAGTTGTCAACAAAGGTTGTATAAGTAGCTTTATTCTTACTTGTGCCGGCTATCTTTACTCCTTTGTCGATGTCATCCATTGAAAGTAATGTACTTCTATCAGCTAAGGATATTGCTACATGTATATCAAGATTTATACAAATAATTGCATAAACTTTACCATTTGCAAATTTAAAACACAATCAACTTTTTCATCTAATCTTTTCCCTCCACATTATATACATTTTTTTACGTATAAGAACCAAAATCCATCAAAGAAAGCAATTGTACACTGGCCTAGATAGCGTCCACTCCTGGCTATGCACTTAACAAAAAGGAACTTTCTAGATTAGGATTTGAGAAAAAAAATTCCTTCAAAATTAATCAGCATCCTTTTTAAGTGAGTTGGAGTCAATGCCTTACAAGGTAGTGATGAGTTAAATTACTCGTATTGGCATGTAATTCAACCCAATAAACTAATTATATTTTACTATTAGGGTTCCAAACATTTCTCTTCGCTCTATTCACATTATCATTTTATTATATGGCACTCTGAGCATATTGTTTTTGACATGTACAATTCCTATCCTATTTTATGTGAACGAATACATTATTGAACTTCTCATTCAAATGTCATGTTAAGAGAGGGCTAATTTTGTATTACACGGAAGGAACTATTTCAAAATAACGATGTACGAAATTCATGACTCTTATTAGTCTTTACTTGATTATTATATGTTGAGTGATCAATGTATAAAGGAATTTAGCTTTATACTATGCACATTATGTTTGTGTATTAAACCGTGTACTAATATCACATGGACCAAGTGGGTAAACATAAGACCAATTAAGTGGTCCACTACCAATTAAGTGGTCCACTAGGTATTTAAAGGTATATGATATTTATAATATTAAATCTATTAAATAGTTTAATGAATATTGAAGAGCTAAAATCTTATTGGTCAATTGTGAAGCGTGCAAATTTGTTAACTGTACACTCTGATGGTATTTATGGATTATTCTATGTGTACACCTTGTGGTGTATACAATCTTTTACACCCCTCTCATATGGAGGGGGGTCCACAAATATTTTATTGTTTGTGAGCCCCACTTCATGTGAGAGGGGTGTAAAAGATTGTGTATACATAGCACTATCCAAATTTTATAGATGCTTTTAGGGCTCATTAGAAATTGCATCTCTCTACCTATGCAGTATATTGACTCCCATCAATCAACACACTTAAAAAAAAAAAAAAAAAAGAGAGATAGGCTAAGAGAAAAAGATACAATTTCTTCATTATATTTGTTTTGCAGGTTGATTCGATTTAATGATGTGTCATGGATCAAAATAACTTCTAATTGGTTTATATATGCTTACGTGAAAATCATTAAGTTCCAAAATTTGGGAATTAGGGTTTACAATTTTATGAAATAATTGAATTCCTAAAACAAGGGTTTTGGCTCCTTTTAATAAGGTTGATTTATTAGAGCTCATTAAGTTCAAACGAGCAATTCGTTTCATTTTAAGCTCAAACGAGCATTCGTATTTCAAGGTTGATGTTATCAAGTAAACTACCATCTTTTGTGGGCATTTTACGAGTAAAATCTCACATCAATAAACATCGAAATAAATAATGTAACGCCCCGAAAATTTTATAAAATAATTTTTTTTTTTTTGTTATATATGCTATATTTTTATAGTTCGAACAGTTGAAAGATTAAAGTAAAGTTTGTTTTAAATTCTATTTATTTTGACCAAATAATTACATTTTGATAAGAGGAAAAATAAATGTATCGATATTGGACTCTTTTTATAGCTCGTAATTAATTAGAAGCTTCAACACGAAAAAACGTTATTTATTATTAGACTACATTCTGATTAAAAGAATAATAGGTTAACAGAATTGGTGGGGGGTTTGCAATATTAATTGAGTCAAATTCTTTTTTCTACTTTTAATTCCTATCATACGGATTTTTATTTGATATGAAAACAATAATATAGTATAATTCAAATGTCATTTTAAGATATATGAAATCTTTAGAGAATTTAAGATGACCTAAAATGGTTGTGTCGCTTGGTCACCGATATACTCAATAAAAATTATGCATGAAAATTGCTAATGCCTTATTGAGTATTTTTAAAAATTCACTCTTACAAAATTTTACACGGTAATTCGGGTCTATTGGAATTGTGGCGAGATAGTGATACGGTCTGCCAAGAGAAATTAAATAAATAAAAACATTAAGTTTTTTTCCTTTAATTTATTAGTTAGTTTTATTTGTTTAAAGACATGTTAGTGACCATGTTATTTTCTTTATGATACAATTTTCATGTTTAGTTTAAATTTATGGATATTTCAGTTTTTTTTTATTAAAGAATATTATTTTATCGTTTCGCATTTGATACAAAGAAAAATGAATTTTCAATAACATTTCAGTATTTATGAAATTTTGGAGTGTTACAAATAAAATCATATACAAACTTATAACATGTCTCTTAACGAGGTTGAACTTGAAAAATGGAACACCAAGTCTAAATACGAATATTCAAGGTTAAATGTTGAATAGAATGAAAAATCTATCTTGACTAAGTGCATGCATAATTGTATGAGCAGTCTGCTGTTAATTTGTTCTTATGTGATATAGTAGTCAAGGAATTGGCGTTTTTCAATAGGAACTGTACAATAATGCGTACTGACCACTGGAAATTCATGGCAATAGAACCCTTTTCGTGGCTATTTTTTTTTACGTAAATCTGGAAACCTAATAAGATTCAATGAATCCTCGAATGACAAAACGAGGGACTGTGTGCATCACCAAAAGGAAAAAGACTCGATTAAGATAAGTTTCGATAAAGCAGTGAAAGAGTCAGCCGTGCAAATTATGGCTAACTATGAACCCCGGTAACTTGCCTGGGGGTTTCCACCAAATTACGATTGAAGGAAGTGAAATGCTATATGAAGAAGCCATGTTTTCTACTGTTTTGAGAGTTATTCCAATATTCATCCAGTCAATTAAATATTCTACATTCATCACCATTATTATGTCCCATAACGTAGTCGAAGGACCTATGTAATATCCATTAAATTTTTGACATTACCTTGAAAATTCTATGTATTAAAATGAAGGCAAAGATAACCACTATATGTAAGATACAAATCTGATCTCTTGCCCACTATGGACATGATAAAATATTCTCACTGTCGACGTGACAAGAGAACCTTAATAGTCATACATTCAGAGAGCCTAAGCCTTACTTAAGGTTCTTTGTGTCACATCAGCATTGAGAAATTTTTATCCTATCTATTGGGACAGAAGATCAATTCTAATGGAAGATATACATAGAATATATTGCTTCACATTTAAATTTACTTGGCTAATCATTGGACTAAAGAAGCGAACATTGACTTGCTAGTGTAAGCCAATCAATATATCTCACACATCATCTCTCGTATCAAATTTGGTTCCACTTTGTGTTTCATTATTTTAGCCATGAACTCTCTTGTGTTTTGCTTGGGCTTCAGAATTTTTATTTTATTTTTAATTATAATCCATAGAGAACTGGCTTAGTTTTCTTCTTATTTAGTCATTATATCTATTTTTCAATAAAACTGATGTGGGATCTCCAATTTGCTAGCTTAGATTTTTGGGAATGAGTGGAAAATGCCCCAGGTGACCCGTCTCATGAAAAATAAGTTCGAACTCCATCTCATATATTGAGAACTCGATAATAAATAGATTTTGTATTTCATGATGTACATCCTACACGACATATTCGCAAATACACGAAGTGCAATAACACCGTCTTCATTATTCCAGAGCCATTTTCAAATCCATCGATCTTGATCATTCCTTACAAACTCACCAAAGTAACAAATAATGAGAAATGTTGAATTAATATCTACATGTCAATACAAAAGTTAGCTAAGTGTGACTACAAACCATAT